CAGGCTGCTGACGCTCTGCAGAGGGGACACGGCCACCTTGATCTGCCCCCGGCACTGCCCGCTGAAGTCGGTGATGTTGTACCAGCCGCACACCAGCTGGAAGCCCGAGAGCAGCGGAGAGAGATCCACGGCCGCAAACCCGATCACGCGCTCCGACTCTGGGGAGGAAGGACACCAACGCGCTGACATCAGCATCAGGAATGCTAAAACACAGCCCTGGGAACACGGCCTGGAGGCACACAACATCCTGTCCAACAGGGGGACATGGTCTGGATGACCTGGGTTCTGTTCAGCCAAAAATGTCCCTGCAGAACAGAGAAAGCCCAGGGCAGGCAGAGGGACGGGCAGGAGAAGCACTGTGAGCACTCAGTGCTCTGGCTACACAGGAAGGTCACTCTGGAAGCAAAACCAAACAGCACGAGAAGGAAGCAGGTAAGAATTTCTTTCAGCAGGAAAATCCAACATCTAAAGCACTGTTACAATAAAACCAGAGAGAATACAGATGAACTAAATCTTGCAAGATGATTAATGGGGGACAGGAGGATGCCAAGGGCCAGGAAATGAACAGGTATTTATCTCTAGCATTCTTCTTGTACAAGGCAAAAGATGGCATTACAATTCTGCTCTCCTATTCACTTAATAGAATTAATTTTCCTTGCATGAAATACAAGGAACCTTAGGAAGGGGATGCAAAAAACACACTCCTCTTAGTACTGCACCACAAACTTTACCTGCTTTATGCCACACTTTGAAGACCAAGGTTTGCTGTGGATCCAGGAGAAGCTCTTTGGATAATCTGTTAGGAATAAAAACCATAACATTTTATGCAAAGCAGGGAAAAGCAGTAAAATGCTTCTGAGGTGTCAGTGCCATTTTATCTACCCAGATAAACCAGTTTCTTTCTGTGCTGATGGGGACAGGAACAAAACAAACCCCAAATTACTGAGCCTCAATGTAACACATCTCTACAGAGTTTGGGCTTCTGCTTATTCAATAAGTATTCCCCTCTCCTCACTCTTGCTGTACATTTGAAAGATAGGACAAAGAAATTGTGAGGGAACAGATATATAGAAATAGTTTATTTCATGATTCAATAACACAGTGACAGCGAAGCACTGGGGCTATGGTTCAAAGCTGTAATGTTTGAAGTTCAGTGCTGGAAATAAAAAATAAACACATGTAGAAATGAAGTGTTAAATGTAGAACAGTTTTTAGGTTCTTTGAAGGGGCTCAGATTTAAAACACTGGAGGAGACACTAGATTGGATCACACAGGTTAATTCCTGAATACTGCCATGTACGACTTGATCTGCTGAGGTGCCTTGAAGCAGTCAAATAATCTTTTTTCATTTAGGCTCAGATATCCAGGTCTGAGCTACAAAGCCCCAACCCTCACGTCCTTTCCACAGCTGCCAGATGTGGGAGTGTCTGTGTGAGCCCCATCTCTCACCGTGCCTGCTGCTGGAAGTCCCACACTGGTGAGTCTGTGTTTGCCACCACGGGGGTGGTGACGGGAGCCTCTGCCCCAGCCACAGCAAAGGACACGCAGCTGCTGGGGGCGGCCACCTCCCGCTCCGTCAGGGGACTCCCTGGAATTACACAGAACTCAACGCACGCTTCTTAACTAACAACAGCAACAGCAACAAAACCTAAAGGCAGTTCAGCAATTAAGATCACACAGCTGGCAAAGAAATCCACCATCTAGAAAAAAGTCCTTTTCACTGGTGGAGCTAATAGCATGTTATGTTTACAATGGAAGCAAACATTACATGAACCTTTCACAGAGCAGAAACTGGAATACTCAAGGCAGAAACAGAAAAATCATTTGCCCAAGGTCATCTAAGAAGTCAGAAGTAAAGCAAGGAATACAACCCAGGTCCTGAGGACCCTATTCCAGTGCTTGAGCTACTCTCCATGCTGCAAGACAAAAATATATAAATATTTCTGCTTTATATCATCAAAAACTTTGCAATAACAAACAAAATTGCACCAGTTTTTCAAAGACCATGGATTCCAGAAGATTCTAGAATGATTATAAAAATGCATCTGCAGGGCTCAGATTCCTTTAGAATTACATACCTTTAAATAATGGTTTGTATTTGACTCTTAGCTGTGTTGTCAAGGGAAGAAGAGCTGAGTACAGTGAGCCAGCTTTACAAATTTATTATGTGCTAATTTGCAGGAGTCTGTGAGACAAGGGCATCTTGGGGTTCAGTTACTCAGTCAGTGCTTAACCTGGAGTTCAGCTATTCAGACAGTGCCTAATTACAGAATTTGGCTGTCATCTCTAACAGGTAGCATTAAGTTATTTCTATTTTGGAGTTTATTCAGGAGGACAGGCTGTGTAGTTCAGCCTCCTGCTTCCCCTGTACTTACACAGTGATCGGGGCTGCAACACCACGAAGCCAAGTTAAAAATCCCTCCCTGCCATTCACTGTGCTGGAGCAGGAACAGATCTCAGAGGGAAACAAAGAGTCAGAAAAACAAGAAAGAGAAAAGAAAGGCAGCAAAGACAGAAAAGGGAGGGAGTGTGCGTGTGAGGTGTTACCTTTCAAACTGAGATGCATTGCTCTCTCCACGAGGATACTGACAGCAACCGTGTTTTCCAGAAACACCACGTCCTCTTCCTGTGGCTGGCCATTGGTGATCCCTGAACCTTCAACATCCA